GAATCTAACATCCATGCATAGAACCAATGATCTAAACATTCGTCATTCTCATCTCTATTTACCTGTTCTAATACGTTAGTGGAGAACTGCAATAGCTTGCTGTCCTCCTCATATAAAACGGGTTTTAGTGTCCCATTAGGAGGATGTATAGCCTATTTGCTAATTGTGCTGAGCTGTCTATACATCTCTTGTGTTACTTATAACTCAAGAGAGTTGGATGAGAGGTTCTCTAACATTCTTTCTAACACTAAATACTCAGCCTTAATGTGTATCAGGGTTTCTCAATGTACCATGGGCATTTTGGACAGGATGATTCTTTGCTGTTAAGAGTCTGTTGCAGGAGCAACATCCCTGGCCTCTACCCACCAGATGCCAGTATCATGCCTCAGTTATAACAAACAAAATTATCTTCAGACTTTGCCAAATATGTCCCCCCGGGGGGGTGAGCAGTAAAATTACCTCTTGTTAAGAATTACTGATGTGTATTTGGGCACACACATGAGCTGAAGCTCATTCAAAGTTTCAAAAGACCCCTTCCCAAATACCTTTATTGATATTTCCAAGAAATGTGCTTCTTGCATAATTAATGTTAAATTCCTCAGTATCAGCATCATTCATATGGGTTCATAAGAGGTAAGAACACTGAAGGCAGACTGTCATTGTGAGCATTTTACAAAGTACTTGGGAGGGAAACAGATTCTAGAGGATCTTGAGGGTCTGAGAATGAGGAGGGCAAATCGATTTCATAATGAGTAGGAAGTCCAATGTGTGAGTTGAAGAATTCTGAGATCATGTTTAAGCTCAGCAGGAAAGAGGACTACATTTAAATAGCAAAGTCTGTCCATGGATTTGGGGAGAAGTAATAACAGCATGTCAGGCAGCTGCCATCTTTGTTTTACCAGCCTATCGAAAGTATTGCATGGCGTGAAGTTATAGATGGTACCACCATTCTGATGATGCAGGGGTTGCTGCAGGGCATACAAGTGTTGTGGACTTTTCTATTTGCTTTACATTGCCTATATGTCATGCATAGTTAAGACTTGATATGGAATGTCTTTCGATTTGGATCCCAGAGTGAGTTTGCCTCAGCTGAACTTAAATTCAGGAAGTCAGTTTCTGTCTAAAATTCAAGACTTCACCATCTGACACTGATACATGGGAGCGTTTATGTAAGCCTTTAGCTCCTAAAGGCACACTCCTTTTAGCTGGTGATTATTACGACCTTGATCTTTGCTTGTCAGTGAGTATAAAAGTTGGCCATTGTAGTTGTTCTCTGTAATTGCATCACAAAAGGGAGAGAATTCCCTGATCTAAGTAAAGCTAGGAGTAAAGAGCCACTACTTTGCGGGGAGAGGGGGCAGTCAGTGGTCCTGTGACAGTAAACACTAGGGTGGGTTGGAAATCTGAGGTCACTGTGGCACTATCAAGTAGTGACAGGCGGAGACCATCCCCAGGAAAAGCAGAACTGCGGGATCAGGGAGACTTGGAGTCCACCCACAGTAACCACAGAAAGCAAGGGGAAGATCACCTGTGTTGCATTTGGAAGATCTCATTATTGAGCTTTCTCTTTTATCAAGTAGTCACTGCATGAAAAACCAGTGTAGAATATGTGGGTGATGGTAAAAGAGAAATGAACCAAAACACATTTCCCATCTCTTTCTCCTGAGCAATAGCAGGCAAAATAAACCTGGAAATCCTAGGCCTCTTCTCCAATTATCACAGCAATTTGGGATCCTACAAATTAAAAATCATTGCTTACTCAAGGTTCCTTTCTGTGTCTGTGTAGGCTGGAATGACCTAATCCAAATCCTATGCCTTTCCTTGTGTCAGTTCCCTCTTCTCCACTCACATATGCACAAACCCCACCCTAAATTGTCCTGTGTTGAAAGCTTTGCCTTTTTATGCTTTATCCTACCTGAACACATTTAGCTTTTTATTCCTGAAATGTAGTAAAGCATTAGTTAGGAAATAGTGCTACTTATTATTGCAGGCAATTTTTTAAATATAATAAATCAAAACAACATGTCCTTTGTTTTTCACTCCATATTGGTCTGTTCTCACACTGCTATGAAGAAATACCTGAGGCTAGGTAATTTACAAAGGAAAGAGGTTTAATTGACTCAGTTTTGCAGGGCTGAGGAGGCCTCAGGAAACTTACAATCCTGGCAGAAGGGGAAGTAAACATGCCCTTCTTCGCATGGCAGTAGTAAGGAGAAGTGCCAAGGAAAAGGGGAAAAAAACCCTTATGAAACGATCACATCTCATGAGAACTCACTATCACCAGAACAGCATGAGGGTAAATGCCCTCATGATTTAATTACCTCTCACCGGGTCCCTTCAATTAAAGATGAGATTTGGGTGGGGACACAGCCAAACCATATCACCCTTTCTTGTCATCTGCCTTCACTCTGCCTTTATCTCATCTCTTCCTCTACCCCTACCTTCATCTCTGTCTTTCCTCTTTTTTCCTCATCCTTTTCACTGTTTCTCATTTCCTTGTCCACCTTTCCCTCTTTCTTTTTGCTTTCTCAATTACCTTCCATAAGCATTAGACATAAATGCATTTTTGAAAAATTGTGACCCTGGAAGTGGCACTTGAGTAAGCGTGAGGCAATGGGATTATGCCTGATTTGTACTGGCTCCAGAAATGAATCTTCAAATAGTGTCTTAGCATTAACCTTGCTGTCCAGATTTAAAGGTCATATTCTTGCAACAAGAAAACACCTTCTGGTTCAGGCCCTAAAACTTAATAAGGGAATGATGAATCTCTGTCAGAACACTCTCCAATTTAAGAATTAGCATTTAGAGGAGTCTGGAAGTTTGCAGAAGTTGGGGCATAGGAACAGGAAAGCAAGTTAGCAAGGAAGAGAGAAGAAAAGAGGGGAGGGAGCGATGTAAGAGAGCTAATGGGAAGTTTGGCAGGAAGTCGAGACTTCTCACAGATCTTCCTAGTTAATGCTCTGTCTGGCTGGCTCACGGGGACAGCCCGTCAGCCTGTTGCTCCAGGAGGCTAGGAAGGGAGGGCATTCTAAGTGCTGAGAGCCGGATCAGGAACAGACAGCCTCATGGTCTCAGGAGTCGTCTGCTGTGACCTGGCAATCAGCAATGCAGAGATGGGAGATGGCCAAATGGCTGCTCTACTACAAAATGTCAAAGAAGGGGCCATCTTTGATAGGCACCCAAATCAGGTCTTTATAAGAATTCTGAGAGCTCCAAGGAATCCCCAGAATGGCAATATATATTTTAGGATGGTTGGCGTTGTTAATCTTTTGATCTCATGACCATGTACAAGTACCAGTGGATCAGTGTAGCTGTCACTGAACTTGCATGTAAATTCTGTGTTTCTACACTGCCTGTGGTCTGCTCTTCTGGCTCCTGCCTCTTCTCTGCCTTGACAGGAATGATGCCCCCAAGGTTCTGCCCACAGAGTGTGTTTCTTCCTTTAGTTTCCAGATGAGGGCCATGGAGTCAGACTATGAGAACTGGAAAACACCTTCAAGGCTGTCTCAACCAGTGGTGTTCAAATATTTGTTTTTAAAAATTCATTGTTGTTACTCATTTTTAATTGAAAAATTAAAATGTATATATTTGTGGTGCACAACATGATGCTTTGAAATATGTAGACACTGTGATGGCTGAATTGAGGTAATTGACACATGACACATTTTGAGTGGAGAGCTCAGAGCCACGTCTGCCCGGCTCCCATCAATTCCCTGCACGGTGGCCTCTGAGACACATTCACAAAAAACAGGGCTCCTGTGAACCCACGAAACTATTGATCTTACCTCCCCTATCCCCCTTATTTTCACAGGAGGAAACTGAGGATCAGAGAGAGGGCATGATCCACCTAGATCTCTGAGACTTTGAATGTTTCACGGCCAGCTTTTCTTTGGGTCTCAGCACAAATAGCACTGCTATAGTTCAGAGAACCTTATGTTTATGATTCAGAGAACTAACTATACTGTAATCGATGAATCTTTTTTTTTGCATATTATGTGTGTATGCATATTTTTCCTACTGGGTATAGCTCCAAAGGAACTGGGATTCTACAGGATCCCCTATACCTCATACTGAGCTGCACCCAGAGGAGCTGCTAATATATTTATGTTGACTAAGAAAGAATTCCAGGTTCCTGACTTAAGCCTCACACATTTGCTTTCACTCTTCCTTGGTGAAGAGTACAGCCTAATTCCTGTCCCCAGAAGGAATCAAATTGTGGCATGATTATAGAACTGATGTCTCTTCTTCCACCATAACTTCTGGAGAAGCCTGCGATATATTTCTGTGATGAGCCAAAAATTTGCTTCAAATAATATTGATAGATTTTTGCATTTGTCACACTGGGATGGACGGCTGTGATTGAGTGTGTAGGAATACAGCATAGCAAGCTACATCCATCACGCTGTTGGTTTGAAATGACAACCCAAATATCTACCATTTATCGAGAGTTCTTAGTATGTCAAGCACTCTATACACGGTTAGCCTGTCAAGGAGGTATTATAATCCCCATTTTACAGGCGTAGGAACTGAAGTTTGGAAAGCTGAAGTAACTCACGTCGTTAGTGGGCTACAGGGCTTATCTGCCAGTCTCCAGACCCCCGGGACCTGAGCCCTGTGCTGAACCGAGGAAATTAATGAGGCTAGGTTTATTTAGCCTAAAGAAGATATGACTGGAAGCTGAAAAAAAGTAAATACTGTCTAAATATTAGAAGGATTATTGTGGAAGTGGGTATCTGTCATTCAGGTTAGAAAAGAACACGGTCCATCCCTTGTAAGCATCTGAGTGGGAGCCAGCAAGAGGTGTCCAGCACACCACTGTGGCTGTGTAAAGGGCCAGGGTTTCTGCTGCCCTGAGGCTGAGCCTCAGGCCAGCTGATGAATAGTGGGGTGAGAGAGTGGAAGGGAGCCGAAAGAATTACAGACTCCTCATATGCCATGCTGTGCTCAACTTAGCATATGGCTTTTTTCCCTTGGCTTCAAATTCAGTCCTGTCTGCCAAAATGTTATGTCTTTTGCATAAGTCCATAGAAGAGCTTAAAAAGTTTAAGCTAAAGGGATACTACCTGTCCTCGTCGCCCCGTCCCTGTCCCATTGGGACGGTCAGACCCAGTAGGTTGGGCAGATCTTTGGGACTGAGCCAGAGACAGCAGCGCATGTCCTTCCTCTTTCGGCCATGTGGTGGTGCTGTTCTTTTAGTTATCTTGGCCGCGCTAGTCCAATATTTATTTTCGGTGAGTAATTTGTTTATCAGGAGGTTATTCTAATCTAATTTTGGCCATATTTGCTATTCCACACTATCTGTGCTTCCCAGCGTTAGCAGCTTGCATGTCTTGAAGGAAATTAGCTGAAGATGGTCTCAGAGGCATTTGCTTAGCCATTATTTAAGGGAGTCAGGGGGAGGCAGAGTGAGCAGAGCTCAGGGTGAGAACAGCCAATGGAATTTGTTACATTTTCCGTGGTGTTAGCATGATGGAGCGGGACTTACGGAGGGCGAGAGCACCCGGAGCTGCTTTTTCAGAGCTGCCTCTGGTGAATCCTAGAACATCTTGTAGTTACTTCTTCCCATTTCCCTCTTGCTCTCTGATAATCTGTTATCTTCCTCACCTGGTCAGGAAAACACCACGTAAGGACAATGCCCTTCTGCCTCCCCGTCCTGCGTGTAGCCCTCATTCCGTATCATAGTATATTTTGTGATCCTTTTACTGCCAGCCCTCAACGAAGTGGGAAGGAGGGTAGGGAGTAAGTAGGGAGAGGATGACTGTTTATTAGAGTACCTGCAATGAATAATGACTGCTAATAATTATGGAACACAGCACTTGCTAGGCACTTTACACAAGGCATCTCTTTCTCAGTAGAGCCTGTAATGTTATGATCCCCATTTTACATGCAAGAAAGGTGTAGTTAGGAGTGGTTGGTGACTTGCCCAAGATCCCATGGTAAATGAAGAGCTAAAATTTGAACTCAGTTGTGACCATTTCCAAAGGAGAAAAGCTTCATATTTCAAAGATTATTCCCGCCTTCCACATGGAGTCAGGAAACTGGACTCTGGGTTCAGTGCAGCCATAGATTGGCTCTGTGACCTTAAACTAGTTCGTTGCCATTACACTTGACTTCAGTTTGATTTTTCAAAAATGGAAGGGCTAGCCCAGGTGAGGAGATTAGGAATTCTTTAGTAGCAAAACCTTTTTTTTTTTTTTTTTTTAAATAAAATCAGTTAGGGAAATTGCAAGCATAAAGCAAAAAATGGGGGGTAAGAGGGGGGCAATTAACGACAGCATGAGCTTTCCCTTGCCCCTCCCTTTTCCCTAGCTCTTGATGGACACTGAGAAACACCCAAAGAAGTTCCTGAGGGGCCAGAAGAAATTAAGTTTGAAAACCTCTGAAATAAATATACTCAAGGGACTCTTCCAGAGTCCGGTCTGTTGTTTGAGATTACAACTTAAAAAAATGTGCTGACACTTTCCTTAGGAGGTTTGAAAATGTGTTAAATTTTACTATGCAGTGGCAATAAGGAAGAACTAGTGAAGTTTGACCTGGAGGAAGATCCAAAATATTGTTCTCATCCTCCAGCCCTAGTCAAGTAAATTCTGAGTCTCTTGGGACTAACAGACCTAATTAAACAATTGAACTAGACCTGACTCAGTGAGGAGGGTCAGCTTCCAGTTGGGATTTTACTGGCAGGCAGGATGAGCAGTATAATTCCACCTTCCCAAGGTGGCCAGGGTGTTCCCAGGCACTCATTCTGGGTCCAACACAAGCCGTGGATGGTGGTGTTGAGCTTTTCTTGCTTGATACAAAACTCTTGGCCACTTATGATATTGTTGGGCTGCAATTGCCGCTAATCTTGGTTCTTACACTCATGCAGGCTGCTGACTTTCATCAGGAGATCCTGTCAAGACTTAATTCTATCTCAAGGGCTATTCCTCTGACCTGTATATCTGCTTGTAGGTTTTGGCCATGTTCTTTCTTTGACCATAGTATAAAAGTGCTCAAGGTGGCTTGGGGACATGTGTGCAGAGTGGTGTATGTTTGCTGTAAGCTCGGAGCTCTTACTCTGAAAGAGTGAGTCACAAGGCCGAGCACGGTGGCTCATGCCTGTAATCCCAGCACTTTGGGAGGCCGAGGCAGGCAGATCACAAGGTCAGAAGTTCAAGAGCAGCCTGACCAATATAGTAAAACCCATCTCTACTAAAAATACAAAAATTAGCTGGGCATGGTGGCATGCACCTGTAGTCCCAGCTACATGGGAGGCTGAGGCAGGAGAATCACTTGAACCTTGGAGGCGGACGTTGTAGTGAGCCAAGATTGCGCCACTGCATTCCAGCCTGGGTCACACAGAGAGACTCCGTCTCACCAAAAAAAAAAAAAAAAAAAAAAAGAAAAAGAAAAAAAAAGGGTAAGTGACAGTGGAGAATAGCACTTGCTCGGTGGTCATGGTGCAGGCTCTGGAGAGACTGTGTGGAGCTGAACGGTGGCCACTGTGGCATGTTTCTTATTGACTCTGTGCTACACTTCCCTCGTCTGTAAAGCAGGGAAAACCACATGCTCCAAAGATAATTAGTAAGACTTAAACAAGGTGATGTTTAAAAGAGTGGGAGTACAGCGCTGGATCTTAGTACATCTCAATAAAGATGAACTCTTGTTTTATTGTCATCACCATTTCAAAAGTCCTGGAGGTTTCAGGAATTGATGATATAAGGGCATAAAGCCTGATGAAATGTAAATTTGTCTCCCAAGATCTTCCCCGAGGGTTGAATGATATCTGGTTGTTTTTAGAGTCTTTTTTTTTTTCCAAGAAGCTTTTTCTGTAAAAGCGCCAGATGATAGTAAATATTTTAGGGTTTGTGGATCACACAGTTCTGTCACAACTGCTTAATTCTTCCCTTATAGGACAAAAACAGAAACAGACAACATATAAAGAAATGAAAAACTTTATGAAAATGGGCTGTGGGCAATTTGCTGACCCCCTACTTTAGACTATGTGAGCCTCGGATCTGGGGACTCTGTTCCATTCATTCTTATTTCTGAAGCTATTGACTCTAATGTGTTTTATACAGCAGACACTCAGAGTAAGTTATCTAAATGAACAAAGGAATCAATGAATAAATGAATGCGTGCAGATTCAACCCTACTCAGTCAATCCGCATGTTCTTACTTTGTTTTAGTTCAGGGAATCAAAGGTTAATAAGTTGATGAGTTCCAAATGTCTTAAATTTTAGAACATGTATCATCCTGGCATAATTGATGACTGGCTGTGGATTGATGAAGATAAATATCACAAAGATTTAAGGCGATAGACAAAAATATAAACATTTCGTGACTCGGAAAGTACACCGTGGCTTCCTCATCACTTTCAGGATTGACTGTACAATTATTTATTTATGTCAAAATGTACCTCAGGTGTTTCCTAGCACCTTCTAATAATAGCACCTTTTCATATATACAATCTCATTTAATCTTCAGCATGGTCCTGTCAGACAGGTAAATATTTAATTATTCAATAACTGTAGTTCTCAACATGAGTGATTTTGCCCCAGAGGGAGCAATTCTCAAGGTCTAGAGACATTTTTGTTGTCATATCTGTGGCGGGAGAGGGTGTGCTGCTGGCATCAACTGAGTAAAGGCCAGGTTGCTGCTGAACATCCTACAAATGCATAGGATGGACCCACACAATGAGTAATATCAGCCCAAGATGTCAACAGTGTGAGGTTGAGAAAAATAGTGTTCTGTAGAGAGGACACTGAGGCCGAAAGAGATTGGCTGACTTGCCTGAGATTGTGTAATATGCACTTGGCATATTGGGACTAACCTCTATCCCTTCCTTTCACTACTGCAGGGTTTTAAACTTTTTTTGAAATAAATGAATGTTTATTTTTATTTTTGAATGAAATCCTTTGCATGGCCACTGACTATAAACGGATGACAGTGAAGCTACTCTGGGGACAATGGAAGTTAGAGATCCTGCTCAGCCTTTTTCTTAGCTCCTTCCACCAGTCCCAGGGGCACACACTATGGCAACCACTGCCCACAGACCTTGAGGCACATAGAGCACCAGACATCTCTTGGCACCCCTGACCTTCCATATGTCCCTGGAACTGCTACTTTTTTTTTTTTTTTTTTCCTGGTTGGGGATGAAGCATCCAAGTTCTGCTTCAATAAAATGCATTGCACAGAGGAAGAGAGAATGGAAGCATTGGGGTCACATATGAGGCTATTGATTGCTGGTGCAGCCCAGGTGATAGGAGAGGATGGCCATATCAAGAGTGGTAGGAGTTGAGTTAAAAGGAGAGTGAACACGGCTCAAGGTTCTGTGATTGCATAGTGATAGGGCTCTGATGACTGGAGGAACACCAGGGTCCTTAGTCTCGGGCCGAATTGGATAAAACGACACGAACACATGTGGAGTATTTTTAAGGAGTGGAGAGTTTAATAGTCAAGAAAGAAGGAAGAAGCCTCCCCATACAGAGACAGAGGGAGGGGGGCTCCAAAGCCGAGAGAGGGAGGAAACCCCGAGTGCGGCAGAAATCAGCCAGTTATATGAGGAGGCTGGAGGAGGGAGTATCTGATTTGCACTGGGCTCAGGGGGTTGGTTTGACCAGGTGTGTCATTCTCATAGCCCAGGGAAAGGACTGGCCCTCCCACCCTAGCTTTTTAATATGCAAATGCAGGATGCCATGATGTTCTACACACATGGGGATATGTGGGGGCGACCATGTTGCCAGGCACACGTTGGGGCAAGGGCAAGAAGACATGGGTGGACCCAGTTTCTGATGGTGGACCCAGTTTCTAATGGCCTTGATTTGCATATCAAAGCTGGCCAGCCCAGCTCTAAAAGCCGGGGCTCTCCTGCTAGACAAGAAACGTTCTGGAGCTGCTTTAAAAGAAACAAAAACTTCCCAAGGACCCCCTTTCCTCTCTATTTGCCTAAAATAATTTCTTAACTCCTATAACAATAGTGACACACTAGTGGCTGACAGAAGGCTGAAGGGTGGCAGGCTCAGGGGTGCAGAAACATTTGCTATTTGCCTCTTCCTCATACACTCAGGGCCTAGAGGCAATGCAGTGTGAACCCATTCATGAGTGATACTTGCAACACAGGGCAGATTTGCTTTCCTGCTGTCTATGTTGGTTGTCTGTACTCTGGCCAGAAGCAGGCAGCACCACTGGTGGACAGACAGGTGCCTTAAATATCAAGTAGGGGAGAAAGGAAGGTGAGGGAAAGCCTCTGATTTTCTTCTTCTTGGTGTAAATCCTGGCTTTCTTCTTTAAGTGTCATCCTCTGATAAGTTGACAGTGGACACAGCAAAGTCAAACCAGGTGGAAGATTTTCTAGACCTGGAAAGGATAATGGCTTGTCTTGGGGTTTAGCAAGTACTTCCTTCCCCACCCACAGTCTAGACTCAAAATAAAACTTTCCATGGATAGGAAAACTCCTATACAAGTTTCTAGGCCTATTTCTAAGACAATTATTCTGAAGTGCCTTCTTGCAGAGATGCAAACACTACAGAAAGGCGAGTGAGAAAATCTCAGCCTGACAGATTCCCCCACTTTTGCACAACCTGTTGGGATGAGTCTCAAAATGGTAGGGGGTCACACATCCTGATCCCTGCTCACCTTTCCCGTCAGCTGCTACTACTGTCCCCTTGCTTTCTTCACCTGGCTTTAGCTCCTGGACTTTTCGTTATTTGTACTCACCAAGCTTTTGCTTTATCCACTTGCTGTGTGCCCTTGAGGTTTGAAGAATTTCCTATCCCCAGATCTCTGCATCCTGGCTCCTTCCTGTCACTCATGTCTCAGCTCCAATGCCTCCTCCTCAAGGGTCTTCCCTGATCATCCAACCTTCCAACCTAAAGCAGCCACCCTACCTCATCACTCTTGCCACTGTTTTGTTTTCTCTGTATCACTTGTCTCTATGTGAAATTGCCTTGTTTAGTTTTGTGTGTGCATATTTGGTATCTGCCTCCCCCCGCCACTCCTATGGGACTGTAAACCCCATAGGAGGTGAGATTTTGTCTATTTCATTTTCTGCTGCATCTCTGCTGTCAATAATAGTGCCTGGAACAACTCGTATATCGTAGTTGCTAAATAAATGTTTGCTGAATGGATTAAGGGTAGTACCTTGGGTTTTGGGTGTGTGAGCATGGTTTTAGTTTATAATTTACTCTCTGCGTAGCCATAGGGAGAATCTGGCTTTCCAGACAAAGGCCTATATGGTTATTTGCATCTAAGAAGCAAACTTTCCAAGAGTCTACCATGTTAGAGAATTTTCAAACTAGCAATATTGAAAAATCAACCATTTTTTCCTCAAATCTAAGTCTATCATCAACTGTGAGGTGTATGCCATTTTTTATGTGCCACTGAATCAGAAAACGCTGTCAGTTACAATGAAAACATCACCCTTGGTAAGAAGCACCTTAATTTCAGAAATGCTAAAATGTGGATAAACATATGCCTGAGGATTGATAAAGTATGATGTGACTCCTCATATGGAATGTAGTATATTGACTCAGAAGAGTTTCGAGTCTTGTGGCGCCTTCTATGTTTATTTTTTAAATTTAGTTTTTATTTTTATTTTTTTGTAGAGATGGGGATCTCACTCTGTTGTCCAGGCTGGTCTCAAACTCTTGGCTTAAGCAATGCTTCTGCCTTGGCCTCCCAAAGTGCTGGGATTACAGGTGTGCCCCTTTCTCTTAATAGGTGCAGCATTGCAACCTAACGTCCTTCATTAGACATTGTATGTGCTGAGGGTGGGGGAAGAGCAGAGATGTGTGAGGAAGAGAAAGGTGTGGATTCTGAGGCTTTACTGAGAGTAGAGAAATTCCTATGGTTTGGGACTAGTTCTGTGGAAAGTTATTAGAAGGAGTTGAGGATTTAAAAAAGGTAGATTAATCTAGATTTAAAACAATGATCTGAAGTGTAGTTTCTTACCTGTTCCGATTTCTGGAGCTTAGGAAAAGCATCTTTAATTTTATAAAGGCAGTCAATTGAGAAAACAAGATTTGCTTGAAACCAAAATTTACTTTATAGCCAAGTTTTTTGAAATGTATCTACTTTACAAAAAGAAAAAAGTACCTGTAAGCTAATTCAAAACCATCATTCTTATTTGAGCAAATGATAATCAAGTATAATTTCCATTATGGATGGCATTAGGCTTCCTTATGCTTTTGTACATATCTGGCTGTTTTCCTTTGCACCAGCCACTCCTGCAGCTACAGGGCAAGAGGAGGGGCAGTTGACTCCACCTTTCCTCAGTGGTTCCGCACTCACACCTGGGCCTGACATTGCTGGGCCGGCCTCATTGTGTCATTGGCTGGATGTCATGAAGTCCTCAAAACATCTTCTCTAGGGACTCAAAGAACCATAGGCCATTTATTTGGCCCTTAAACCTTCTTAAGTTTCCTCTGAAAAATCAACTCTTACCACAATTTAGGGCCCTGGAGAGAGCAGAGAAGTTGGAGGAGGGGGATTGGCTAAAAGCCACTCCCTTCAAGCACTGCAGGCTGTATCTCCATTAGCCTTTCAGAAATCTTCCCCAGGAAGCTGGATTAGTGGTAAGAACTAAATGTCTTTACATAGATGCAAAGAATGTACACTATGCTGACAGCCTTGTGAGATGATGAATATGTTTATTAGCTCAATTTGTTCATTCCCCAAGTTATATAGGCATGGAAAGATCACATCGACCTCCATAGACATATACAATCATTGTTTATCAATTAAAAATGAAAGTAAAACTAAAAAGGGGCTTTGAGACTACCATGGGATGTTAACCTTTGGAGTCAGATGAGGAGATTTCATGTGAATCCTAGATATGACACTTATAAGCTCTGTAGACTTAAATAAGTTGTTTAACTTCTCTTAACCACTGTCTTCATTTGTAAAAGAGGGAAAGTAATACTTTAAGCATTTTCATAAGACAGATGATCCATATAAGATGATTAGCCTAGTGCAGAGCGCATAGGAAATATTTAGTAAATAAATATTCATGTTGTAATGTGTTCTGATGGCAAAGTAGACAGCTTGCTTTTCGTGTAATATGATTTAGAAGACTTAGTAGAGACTACTTTATCCAGAAACATCTTCTAAATAGACTCCCTCAAAAGACCTCTAAGATAATCTGTTGCAAAGTCAAGGGTATTGTATACTATAGTTAGGGACACCACTACCTTTAGTCTTACTAATGTCTCAGAAATGGGAATTCTTCGGTGGAAAATTGCAGGGTTTGAGAACCATGGTTTGAAGCGAGGGTTTCAATGTGGAGTCCTGTTTGGGATCAGGCAAGTTTTGTGATATAATTGCTCGAGGTTGGGAGGAAGGGATTTGGAAGCAAACTTTGGATAGTAAGAGTTTAATCCCCCCAGTTATGTGGTCTTCTGTTCTGAGAGGGGGGTTTCTATCCTGAAAAAGACTAGTTTAAATGTCAGTAATTCAGATGAATGGATTTTCAGGAAGGCTCTGAAACAGTAGAGCTATTTAATTTTTCTGGGCAAGAATTGTTTGGGGTATGATATGTCGTGGTACTCTGTATAGCTGGAGGTGATTTCTGTTCTCAGGAATGGTGAAGGGCCTCGAGTCCTTGTATTTATTCTTATATATGTCTTATGAAATGTAAAGGTTGCATATTAAGCATGTAACTGCTATCAGTCATATGGATCTTAGAGGATTAACTAATTTTCTAAAAAGCCTTTAGGGTAATGAGACTCAATACATGTACATTTTGCCAGAGAGGGAAATTTTCAGGTTTATATCATGGACATAGCCTTTAATGGCACCTAGGATAAAATGGAGTGTGAACTTCAGCATGCATAAAGAGGAGTGTTTCATTGTATGTATGAGAGTGTCTCAGAAGAGGCAGCAATGTAGGACTGGTGGCTATTTTGGGGTGAGAAGTCATCTACATTCCATGAGGATTGAAAAAAATGATTATAAGTTTTACTTATTTTGAAATTTTTCCTTTGGCTATGTTCATCGGTGAAAGGTATGTGAAATTTGGATGCCATCTTTGTAGGGAAAGGAATGATCATTTTTTGAGCACATACTTTATGTCAGGTGCTGAGTTATGTTTTCAATTATTATGATGGACTTGTAAGAATGTTTCAACTATTTTTATCTTTTTTATATTGCTTAATATTTACAGATGATGGAAATTCAGTTCAGAATGGCTAAGTGTCCTTCTTAGTCCATTTTGTGTTTCTATAACAAAATCCCTGAAACTAGGTAACTGATAAAGAACATAATTTTTTTTTTCTTACAGTTCTGGAGGCTGGGAAGTCCAAGATCAAGGGTGTGGTATCTGGTGAGGGCCTTCTTGCTGCATCCTCGCATAGCAGAAGGTGAAAGGGCAAGCTAGCAGGACACTGTGCGAAGCCTCTTTTACAAGGTCTTTAATCTCATTCACAAGGGAAGAGCCTTCCTGGCCTAATCATGTCTTCAAGGCCCCACCTCTTAATATTATCACATTGACAACACCTGAATTTTGGAGGGAACATGTTCAAACCATAACATTGAGTAGCTTAACCAAGGTTACACAGCTAGTAAACACTAGAGTCAAAAGTAAAATCAGTAACTAGGGGCCCCTGAAGCTTCTGTTCTCATTGTTGATATGGTTTGGCCGTGTCTCCACTGAAATCTCATCTTGAATTGTAGCTCTCACAGTTCGCACGTGTCATGGGAGGGACCCAGTGGGAGGTAGTTGAATCATGAAAGTGGGTCTTTCCCATGCTGTTCTCATGATAGTTAATAAGTCTCATGATATCTGATGGTTTTAAAAGGGGAATTCCCCTGCACAAGCTCTCTCTTGCCTGCCACCATGTAAGATGTCCCCTGCTCTTCTGCCATGATTGTGAGGCCTCCCCAGCCTCACAATTCACAGTGGAACTGTGAATCAATTAAACCTCTTTCCTTTATAAATTACCCAGTCTCAGGTATGTCTGTATTAGCAGCATGAGAACAGACTAATACATTTGTCTGTAACAATAGAGAGCCATTGGAATAAAAAAAAAATACATGATGATGATAGTGATGGTGATAGTTTCCACAGGCAACAGATACTGTACCTATTATATATCAGGCATTGAGCCATCTACTTTATATGTATTATCTCATTTAATTCTCTCAACAGTCTCACAAAAGAGAGATTACTATTGGTTTTATTTCAGATAAAGACTGAGTGATAGAGCTGTAAAGTAGCATGCTCAAAGTCACACAGCTAGAAAGCGGTGGAGCTTCTGGCCATATGCAAGAATTTCAGAAAGACAGTGACAGGAAGTTGAAGGATCTGCCCACAGATCAGGATGAGCAAGGCAGTGAAGGGCACATGAGTTCAGAAGTCTACACTCATCTGTACGTCTCATTTCTGGAGCTGTGGCTGTTAAAGTGTCCAATACATTACTTTGCTGCAGGCTCCCACATTTTCTCTGCTTAAGGTCATCACTGCTCCCAAAAAGGATGATGCAGTTTCGAAATATGGGAAATAAAGAGCAGTGATAACAACTTCCTTCAGTTTTGCCAAAGAAGAAGAGCAGTGGGCTGCTTACAGGTATAATTATCCAGAACGCCAACCATTTCTCCCCACCAGTCTGTTGTGGGGCCCCACATTACCCAGGAGAAATTCAATTTTTTGAGTCTTGAAGGTTTCTAGGCTTTCCTCTTTAGACCACAAACATCTTTATAAAGATGGTCGGGATCTCCAGTGCCTTCAGGAGCTAGGCAGGTAATTCACTTCTGAAGGAGCTGGGGTTAGACAAAAAAATGAGTTGATTACTGTGTCAACCTGTGGATTGCTTCCCCTGCTCACTCGCCTTGACAACACTGTGTGGCTAACAGTCTGTGGGTTACCTGTTTGTAACACCAAAAGGCTCCATTTTTTTTTCCTCCTGATTGTCAAAGTTTGTTGTAGAACGCATGAGAAATAAAACTACAGAAAAGTCTAAAGAAGTCTACAGAAAAGTCTACAGAAAAGTCTAAAGTCCAAGCAAATAGAATCGTCAGTTGATCCCCGATCCCATTAAGTGTTCTTGTTACCTTGGCATATTCCCTTCCAGTTTTTAAGTGTAAAAATCTGCATCAATGGGATCTGCCCTAAAGCGACACACATGAACCTCAGTTAAGAAATACTTGGGGTTAAAATAAGGATATCACTAGGTCCTGTTTCAGACTGAGAATTAGCTACAAGTCAGGCCCTTGGAGGATAGAACCCGGAGAGATAAGTAGAAATAGAAGAATATAGAAGGGTGAATGGGAGGTAAGGACAAAGATAAATCTCCTGTTGTTCATGGATTTGCCAAAGGAAAACCGGCCAAAAAAAGATCTTCAGCATGAGGCTGGCAGCGAGGGCCTGATGGAGCTAGGGGGTGCCAGGAAGCAGGGTCAATGCTTTCAGGGTGGGGTAGAGGAGTGGGTGAGGTGTTAAAATTAAAGCTCCTCAGAACTCTCTGTCCATTCCATCCCCCTCCTCCAACCAGTTTCAAAGACATTAATGTAGGCCGGGCATGGTGGCTCACGCCTGTAATTTCAGCACTTTGGGAGGCCGAGGTGAGTGGATCACCTGAGGTCAGGAGTTCGAGTCCAGCCTGGCCAACATGGTGAAACTCTGTCTCTACTAAACATACAAAAAAATTAGTTGGGTGTGGTGGCGTGCACCTGTAATCCCAGATATGTGGGAGGTGGAGGCAGGATAATTGCTTGAACCTGGGAGGCAGAGATTGCAGTGAGCCAATATCGTGCCACTGTACTCCAGCCTGGGAGACAGAGTGAGACTCTGTCTTAAAATAAATAGATAAGTAGATAAATAAAAAACAAAATAAAAGACACTAATCTACTTAGAAACTTAAAAAAAAATTCAGCTACAGGATTTTTTTTTTTTTCAAGGAAAATCTTAGGGAAAAGCTGTTTATGTAAACAGACTACAGCAGAGCTGGTGTGTTCCAAAGAGGGGGACCTGAAGCCCTCTCCACACCTCTCAACTCTAAGCCCACCCACAGCAGTATTCAAAAACGCATCTCATCTCTGCTCTGTTTGCCCTGGCCCTGAGAAGCGGCGCTTTCCTCTCAGATCTTCCAGAACTCCTCTAAGTTGCTGATCCCAGTGACCCTCATTTTATTCTTTGTTCTTCTCCATATTTGCTCTTTCTC